ATTTTTTCAGGATTCTTTGATGAATATAAAGTTCAAAAGAACAGCATTTATTTGAAAACAAAAACTTGTATAGTGTATTCATGCTGAATAAGTATTCATTTCTTTCTTTTAAAAAACAAAACAAAACAAAATCTTAGTGACCCCAAACTTTTGAACGGTAGAAATAAAGAGATTGATACATTCAGAAAATGTGTTTTATTGTAGTTTACTGCCAAACATAGAAAGTCACTTTTAGAAGAGACATTTTGATAAATTATTTTTGAATATTAAGCTTACTGTTTACCTCAAGAGTATAGCCTACAAAAAGTTATTTTAATATTTAGAGCAATAAACGCTCTAAATCGCTCAAAAATGCTTTGGGTGCTAATAAATGGAAAACCTGTTTAGAATTGTCCTTTTATCTTTTTCATTATAATATCTCTATATTATAATGAAATATGTTTGCATAACAAAAGTTAAGGGTCACTGAGAAGGTTGCTCTAGAATTCAAGCTATGATATGCCACATTTACTCAGTGACATTTATTTGACAATGAGCATTTAAACATCAGATATTTTTTATCTGTGTGTTTTCAGTGCTGATATTTTTGCTGACAGCAATTTGACAGTGAAGCTCTTACAAGCTTTTTCGTCGTTACAGAACATGATCATGATCTGAAGACCTGTTAGATCAGTGCTCATTTCTGAAGCTCTTTGTTTTACCACACACAGACTAAATAAAAGTGGGAATTCCCAGGAATAAAACCTCGTCTCTGCCGTGCATATAGTGAAGTAGTTTGTTTTCCGCGGAAGTCATATCCGACGTCATCTGTGACCTGGAAAGATTTATAAATAGTAACAAGAAAAATACTTTACGTGAGTTTCCCTGACTCACAAAACTCATATGACTGAAAGATTTTTTTTTTAATCATTCATTGACGAAATGAATGGGTCTTTCACAGATTGTGTCTCTCACCATGATTGATTGTATTTGCATATAATAAAAACATCTTAGCAAGTGTATTATTCACTTCCAAGTCACATTTGACACCTTGTAGTTTTCTTTATTGTGATCAAATTTGTTTAATCAGTCATGGGATTTATAAAAGAGTTCTTAAGCTTAAAGAGATTATGCACTATACATTTTAAGTAGCCTACACTCTTAAAAATAAAGGTGCTTCACGATGCCATAGAAGAACCTTTTTGTCTAAATGGTTCCATAAAGAACCTTTAACATCTGAAGAACCTTTCTGTTTCACAAAAGGTTCTTGAAAAAGGGTTCTTCAGATTACAAAAAGGTAAGAAAGAGATGGTTCTTTAAAGAACCTTTGACTGAATGGTTCTTTGTGGAACCAAAAATGGTTCTTCTATGGCATCAAAGCACTAATGACTTGTTTAAGACTTGAATCTTAAAGCTGAGGACTTGCAACTCGACTTGGACTTGCCTGTCTTGACTCGGGACTTGTCTGTCTTGACTCGGGACTTGACTCGAGACTTGAATGCAAAGACTCGAGACTTACTTGTGACTCACAAAACAATGACTTGGTCCCACCTCTGGTTTTTACTATTATGCTACTTTGCCCATCACCCATTATAGATCAATACATAACATAATGTATTAAGGTGCAAAATGCATTTACTTACACATATTATAAAATCGAGATATTTCATGATATAGTTAACACGTTTGGGAATATTTCGAATAAAAAGGAAAAAATAAATAAAACATAAGCCTATATCAGTTATACAGTGCTATTGTGGCTGCTGTGTGTCACATGACGCCCCTGACACTACAATACAAAATGATTTGTCAGATAAATGAAACATGATGAAACGTTAATTTGAGTTTAAATTGTTATAGCTTACTTCTAGAGATTGCAGGGATACATGACATATGACTGATCACTGAATGAATAATACTGAAAGTAGGTTAAGATGAATTTTAAAAGTGTGCCCCCTAAAAGCACAAGTGGCTCCTGCCTGAAGAAAGTAGTTCTTAAGCCATTTTACCTCATGTAGAGTCAGATGAACTTGTCTACACTGATTCTTTGATGGCTGACTCAAAGGTTGGACTCCAGAATCTTTCCTTGCAGAGGGAACAAAACACAATATGAAGCATGAGCGTGTGTTTGATTGAATTTGGTGTAACAGCTGCAGACTTATGATTTAGTTCACTTTTAGTTCACACAGGAGATTATTGAGGACACTGAGCTGATGTTTAGTGGAGTTATGGGATGCTCACCTCCTTCTTCTACGCTTACTGTTATCTCATCTGTTGTGTCTTCACTGATGACCTGACATAGGTAAACTTGTCTGTGAAGGAAGAAAAAAACACATGGACTTGTGTACATGATCTACACTCTTAAAAATAAAGGTGCTTCACAATGCCATAAAAGAACCTTTTTTTTGTCTAAATGGTTCCATAAAGAACCTTTAATATCTGAAGAACCTTTCTGTTTCACAAAAGGTTCTTGAAAAAGGGTTCTTCAGATTACAAAAAGGTAAGAAAGAGATGGTTCTTTAAAGAACCTTTGACTGAATGGTTCTTTGTGGAACCAAAAATGGTTCTTCTATGGCATCGCTGTGAAGAACCTTTTGAAGCACCTTTATTTTTAAGAGTGTAGATTTATTGTATCCACACAGTGTCACTTAATTTAGTTTTAGTTTACACATATTTATCCTCACATGCTCAGAAATAGCAAGTTTCGGTCTCTATATTTATAATCTTTTAAGAAATTCACAGTAACTTCACGTGCGCAATTGTTTTGTTTTGTGGCGCTCATGTGATGATGATGATGTCTTGTGTGGGATCATTTGACAGCAATGGAATTTTTTTTCTTGCTGCTGCAAAGATACCTTTGATCAAATTACAAGGAAGACCAGAAAAATTGAAGGCATGCAAACAAAGTTAATGAGAGAAAAGTTGACTGTGACGACATTAAGTATACTTTGTAATAGATATATCGCATATTTTAATCATATATCAAGCGTTGCATTTTCTATGACTAATTTAGCGTCTGAACAGGTAGTATTGTGTTAACGGGTGTGTTTTGGCAAACTATTTACACATAAACACCTGTCAGACACGTTTTACTTTACGTAAGGCATGACCTTTGAAGAGTTGACGACGTGCAAATTAGAATACGTAGAATACGAGGGACCGCCCACTCAGCTCACAACACATATAAGTGCTGGGAATCCTTCTGTCTGTCACACTCACACCTTGCACCTGGTTTTCTACTGGAATAATTTGCAGACGGTTAACAAAATGCCTGTAAGCCTCTGTGGTTCATGGGACATGGTGAGCAATGTCAACTTTGAGGGATACATGACTGCTTTAGGTAAGCATTCTTTTTCTAGTTGAAATAGATCATTGTTCTTAACTCTGTTGCTAAAATTGACATATAGCTTATAGTTATTTTTTTCTTATTGCATGTTTATTATATTATATTATATTATAGTGTGTAAACCATTCCATTTGTTTTTAATGTATGTCAGGAGTAATAGGTCCTAAACTTTATCTTCTCACAGGGATAAGTCTGTACACCCGCAAGATCGCCTTGAAGCTAAAACATCGTAAAGTGATCGAGCAGGTGGGGGATCGATATGTCGTCAAGACTCTCAGCACCATCAGAAACTACACTTTCTCCTTCAGAGCCAATGAGGAGTTTCAAGAGTTCACAAAGGGACTGGATGACAGACACTGCAAGGTATTACAAAGTTTTATCATTATATTGCAACACATAATTTACTGTTATTACTATAGTAAGTACATGTAACGTGTGACAAGAACACGGTAAAATGAAATGTTACTTTATTGATTATTTTATTTCCATGACATTTAATAGAACATTTCATAGAAGAAAAAACTGACAGTCTTACGGCACAAGAACACTGACAGCCCTTTAGGCTGTTTGAATGCAAATATTTTCTGAAAAGACAAAATGGAGATTGCACCTAATGCACTGTTTTAAATTAAACATAAATCGATTTCTCTAGTCTCTGGTGGCATGGGAGGGGAACAAGTTGGTGTGCATTCAAAAAGGTGAGAAGAAGAACAGAGGTTGGGCACACTGGATCGAGGACGACAAACTCCATTTGGTAAGTGTGAAATTAAGCATCTTACACTATAAAAATCGGTAATACATGTTAATGAGCTGATTTCATTAATCACCTCACTAATAATCATACCTCTCAACCCTTTATAGGAGTTGCACTGTGAAGATCAAGTCTGCAAACAAGTTTTCAAACGGGTTGTTTGAGGCCCTGCTGTGACGTTTACTACAAGAAAAGGTGTACTGATGTAAACAAAGCTGTTTACACTTTAAACTCACTTCAGAGTCAAAGGAATATGAGGCAAGAGGAAGAACCATGAGCGTCAACTTGTGCCTCAAAACCTGACTAATCAACTACATTCAGCGAGAGGCTTGCAGACTGAGCCAGAGTGTCTAGGAGCGTGATTTATAGTGCCACTAGAGGGCGCCATAAGACCATGAACAAACAGAACTCGGGTCAGCAGCAGCTTACCCACTGGTAACACTGTATGTTGTCCGTAGTTGTGCCAACTTTGCCTAATCATGTTTACATGTAATACAAGAACCACATTCACAGACATTTAGCAATGTGTAATGTGCTTCTGTATTTCTGCACCCCAGAATCATTATTTCACCAGAATATGACTAATTAAGGACCATGCCTCTTTTTGAATACTTAAAAAAACATTTTGTAACTGGTTTATTTAGTTTTATTTTTTTGCTGATTTTTATAATCTTGTTAAGATTTAAACATTTTTGTTTATGTATGTGACACCTAAATATACACACCCTTATTGTGCAATAAAATTTGAAACAAGTTATAATATACTTTGTGTGTTTATTTGCTAATACTGGGTTGCAATGTCTTTTTTTATAAGGATTTACAATCAACAAATCATTATCATCATCTCTCTTTTTAAAACCACAACAACAAATACAAACAATCATTTAGCCAATTTACAAAACAAATTATTAATAATTGAAGTTTGAATCAGAAAAGTAACATTGATTACCTCTTGGCTAAGTGGTAGTTGGTCAAACTAGTTCTTAACATAGTGACTATGTTTATGCAACTGGCCCTTGGTTCTGAAGAAAACAAGTCTCTTGAGGTCGCCTCAGCAGTGAAATCAGTTTCCTGAACTGCCGCAGCCTGGAATGTGCCGATCTCGCGTCACGTGACTCCAGATCCAAAATGGCCGCGTCGGTGTTTTGACGAATAATACTTTTGTGTTTGTTTCATTCTTAAAAGATACCGAATATAACCCTTCCATATCGGAAAAAATCAGCCACGCGCGTTTGATGTTTTAATATAAAGATTTAAATTAGACAATCACAGCTCATTGATATTTGTTTTATGGTTCAGACTATGCACTTTTGGTGTTTATAAGGAAGCTAGCTGACTGGCTAGCAACATAATTAAGCTGAAAATTAAAAGAAAGGCAATGGAGCAGCTCAGTCCTGAAGAGGTAAGGCGATTTCCACACAGTGTAATGTATTTCCAGTCGGAACGGCTTCTCTGATAGCATGACTGTTATGTTTTTGGGTTTTATTAAATGCTTATTGGCTTGTCATTGTCACCTTCTTTTTCACTCGCAGTAATGATGGGATAAGCTAAGAGGACACCGGCTAACCAACAACTCAGTATATCCAGATTAAATTTATTTCGCATAGAAATAAATGAGGCTAGGTTCTGAATCTCATTTTGAGCCACTTAAGTGCCGATATAGAAGCGAAATTAAATGAGAATATGGAGGTTATTTCCAGTCAGCTCGTTAGCAAGTGATACGTTTGACAAACTGGATCTGCCACAAGCCTCGATCATCTGCTTTTTTCTTATTATTATTTTCACAATTAAAATAACAGCCTTATCGTTTACAGTCGCTGGGGAGCGTGTAACCAGTTGACAAGTTAAAATTTCTTTTGTGAATCTTTTCTTCACTGGGAATCCAAAATGGCTGAAAGACTGTCGTGTGAAGAGATAAAATCATTTTGGACCAATTTAACTTCCAGTCGTGATAAAATGTGCAATTATCAAGGTTAACTTTGCCAAGGGTATGCATTTGATTAAATGGCACCTGGTTTAGAAACTGAAATCATGCGCAACAAGCTTTTGTCAGGCGTCAGGTCAGTATATTTATCATGTGGTCAGCTGTTGAAGCTTAAAACCGTTGGTAACTCGACAAAAACGTAGTATTTTATGGTAATATTTATTGTAAGTGCATTTTATCCCATAAAGCTCTTGGTTTCGGGTTTTGGATATCGTTATTTGGCACTGGTTGTTGTTGCTGTATGACACTGGTGTGTATTTACAGACAGGGCTTTGTGTTTAGTTGTTCTGCTGTAAAATAAAACCAAACTTTGCTCTGACCTGGAAAAACAGTTTAAACCAGCCTATGCAGGTTTGCTGGTCTCACAGTCTGGTCTTTTCTGAGCTGGTCAGGCTGGGAGACCAGCTAAGACCAGCAAGCCATCTTAAGCTGGTTCAAGCTTCTTTTTTCATCAGCTGCCTTATATTAATTTAAAATAATAGACAATTTATTTATTAAAAATAGGTCGTAAAGTTATTAAATAGATAAATAAAACCATTTTGAGTTTTAATTCATGGATGTCAGTCATTTATCTTAGATCTTAATGTCAGCCAGAGCTAATATACATTTTCAAAATAAGCTGCTATATTGATTTATAATGCATTTATTCTGTGTTGCTACCATTATTCAATGTGAATCTGAAATAATATACAATTAAATGTGAGCTGCAAAAGCAGTATATCTGTGAACTGAGATCATCCTTTGCTGATTCAGACTGGGTTTGGCCATTTTTTGCACTTTTGATTAGTCAGTCATGCATTTTGCCTTTCCTTGCCATTTCACTGACAGTATTTGCTGTGGAAGCTGAGGCCTTCTCCATCTCAAATGACTCACTCCACTGTATAGAGATGATTTGTCACTGCTGCTGAAAATAATGACCACTTTAGGACTTTAAAAACATACTACTGTTTGTTTGCTTCAAAAGCATATGTGAAATAGTATATAGAAATTCCCTCTTTGCTTTTAAGGGTCTGCCCTTGTAGTTGCCAAATAAGAGCAGTTGAGGTCATCAGACTGTAAACTGTTGCTCATTATTGATTAGTAATTAGATTAAATTGTAATTAATCTGCCTTGTTTAGATCCGTAGAAGGCGACTGGCCCGGTTAGCTGGAGGGCAGACGTCACAGCCCAGCACCCCTTTGACATCTCCACAGAGAGAGACTCCCCCAGGACCCTTGCCAGGGCCCTCCGGGGCCTCATCACAGCCTGTCCCACCAGCTCCATCTCACACTCTGGGCTTAAATGCCCAAAATGTCACCCCTGCCACCTCTCCTATGGGGGCCTCGGGTAAGTGCTTTGCTGACTTTATCATTTAAAACGATTCAGCAAGGATGCATTGAATTGATTAAAAGTGATTGCAAAGACGTTTATTGTTGCAGAACATTTCTATTTCAAATAAATGCTGTTCTTTTGAATTTTGAATATTTTGAAAATATTAAAATAGTACAGTTAATAAAACAATTATTTACAATGTAATAATGCAGCACAATTTTACTGTTTTAAATGTATTTTTGATGATAAAATGGCATTATTGCTGACATAAAAACATTATTTTTGACCCCAAACTTTTGAATGATAATGTAGCCTATATTTGAGAAAATAAAATGTTATAGCCTTGCTTTCAGAACATGGGGTTTTCCCTTATTTTCATTTTTAAGAATGCAAAGCAGATTGTTTGCTTTCAGATACAGCCTTTCTGTTCAGGGGGATTTTCAAGGCATAAAACATGGTTTTTATATTGCACCTGACTGGATCAATAAATTCAGTTTTATGCAGAGTTATCCATTATACCATTCGTTTCAATTAATTTCGATGTTATACATTCATTTCAATGTTATTAATTGTAAATGTTGGGTATTTTATGGACACATTTAGCATTTGAGCTGACGGATGCGAGTTGTATCTGAAGTCCTATTGTAGATTCATTGTAATTGCATTTTACTATGACTGTAATCTTGTCTTAGTATAAAAAAAATGTTGAGGATAAAATGACCAATGTAATAGTATTGAGGGTCTAAGTGGCCTATTTGTAATCCTGTGTGGATTAATCTTTAATGCTCAAGTTCTATAGCTTTAGCTGTTTGTACTACACTAATAATTTAATCAATGGCCTGTTTTAAAGATTTTTTGATCAGTGTTGATATCAAGGTAAGTGATTTTTGTCTCGCAGCATCTTGCTGTGGAGAAATTGCACAATTGTCATGGAGGTAGCACAGCCTTGGCCAGGGTTTAAATAAGGCCACATGGGCAGGCAAGGCTGATGACTCGGTTTTGTTCTTGTGGTGCCGTAGTCCCTTTTTTTGTTAAATGTCAGTGTGCCATGTGGTAAAGTTCCTCTGTAGTTTCTTTTTTACAGTGTAAGAACCTTTGGTCTTTATTGTCTTGTAGATGAGCTGTAAAACGTCTGTAATTTCAGGCTGTATTATGTATTGAGACAGAAAACACCGTGTTCAAATTAAGCTGTATTGGTTGATTTTGGATGATGCCAATTTCTTTCTTATTCTCCAGTGCATTCATTTTTGTTTGTATCACACATTAGATCAAAACAAGTTTTGCTTGTTTTTCCTTTTTGGTTTTTGGCACTGATCTGCTGTTCATTTAAAAAGCATTTCAATTAAAGTCTTTATGATTGCATGCTTAATTACCTTGGAGTCTTGCGAAACCGAAAACTGCATTTATTGAATAAGTGTTTTGAACTGGTGTGTTGTCGTCATTGGAAACAACAATGTCCTGTATCCACTGACGCACATTATTCCATGTCTTTAAACACATAATATCCACAGTTACGTGAAAAAGCTTTTCTAGCACAAGTCTGCTCTTTGTTGTAGCTCCTTTCTGGAACGTACAGCATTGAGATGCAATCAATCATAAGACAGAAACCAGGTCCAGTGCATTCACTCCTCTATTAATATCTTTTAAACATTCTGGTTAGGTTTGTTTTTAACCTCTAACTCAAAGTATTAAATGACTGCAGTTAATTTATCCCTTTTTTTGTTGTTAATAATTTTAGTCTTAGCTGATTTGTTTTGTAAACATTATATTTCTAAAGAAATCTCAAATGCAATTTTGAAAATATTCCTTTGTCTTATTTTGACAGAATTTCCAGCATTATAAATGTATCAAACATTAATAATGTTGTCAATGTAGTAATTTAATATGCAAATATATGTAAAAAAGATGGCCAATTCTAATTAAGATGTAATTATGTTTGTGCCTTTCTTCATTTCTTTAACCATTTCTTTTTCTCACATTAACGCCACAAACTGGTGTCAGTCCATTTACACAGGGCATGTTCTTGCATTGAAATTTAATTGAACGGAAGGCACATTTAAGGTGCGGTCAGATAAGTGAAATTTTAGGGAAAATTCGCAGACCAAAAAAAGGTAATTGTTAATAGTGTAGCAATGTATGAATCACAGCTGAAACAGAAGTCACTTTTAAACCAAGCAGCTTTCTCTTGGTCAACACAGCAAATTCACATGACCAACCCCGAAGGTGATGCAAAGGCTATCTGAGGAAATCTTCTGTCCTCACGTGAAATTCTTGAAAGTGTGAATTCTAGTTGAAGTGAGTGGATTTTGCCCGTGTAAAAGGGTTGCATGAGTTGGTGAAAAAAATCTTAATTGCATTTGTTTTTTTCTGATAAAATTTGTGATTTCGATTTAAAATTTGCTAAAAAAAAACATTCATGTTTGCTGTGCTTGTTTTAGGGCAGCACAATTTGGCCAGAATATTGTGATTATTTATCAGTAAGCCTATGAACTAGTATTATTCTTATTATTATTACTAAATAAAAACATTACAATTCTAAATGAAAACAATAAAGATCCTAACAACACCCCTGTTTAATTTAATTGATATATTGTTTTCAAATTTACATTGAATCACTGTGCTGCACTGGTATGTGCTTCAAGAATTGCTGATGCAGATTTAGTTTTTTTTCTCTGACTCTATGCTTGTTTTCTAGATAAAAGAGTCCTGTTTTTCAGTTTTGAGACAAGTGTTTGTAAACCTTGGAAGATTTTGTGAGATTTAGAGAGCCATTTTCATTGGAGGAAATATAATTTTTTATTGTTCAAAATTAATGTTCTTTAGTTAAACTTTAACTATGCAGTTTGTTTTCCAGCCATGAAAGTTTTTGAAAGATTTTCTTGAGCTTCATTAAGGGTTACACAATTTTTTCCATGACACAATCAGCAGGTTCGTACTCAAACACAGTACTTCCTTTTGTGCTTTCCATTACCGTAGGGGTTGCTTACCGCAGCCAGAGCAGCGAGGGGGTCAGCTCTCTCTCCAGCTCTCCATCTAACAGTCTGGAGACACAGTCCCAATCCCTGTCCCGCTCACAGAGCATGGACATTGACACAGCCTCCTGCGAGAAGAGGTGAGAGACCGCTGTGAACCTTTGTCCTCTCTGAACTCCTAATCAAAGATAGAGCATGATGTAAGAGCTCAAACTGAGATTGTGCTGGAGATGAAGTATTGTATCTCACTTTAAATAGTCTCTTTAAGCTGCAGAATCTCTCTACTGTTAGATTGCAAATGCTTTTGTACTCCAGCCACATAATTCCTAAAGTGCATATAAAGATAAATACATACAGCTGGAAGTTTATATATTAAGATAACCCTCTCTATCTTTAGGCACATCGTTTTTGGATCTTCCATTGTACTTTTATAACATGCAGTACTAAAGTTATATTGTTTGACAATTAAAGAGTTGAACTGCTACTTGAGCTAGATCTCATCTTTGTGGTCTTCAGCATGTCCCAAGTAGATGTGGACTCAGGAATTGAGAATATGGAGGTGGATGACAGTGATCGCAGAGAGAAAAGGAACCTGGCTGAAAAGGTAACCAGATGCACCAATAAAAAGATTTTTTATTTTAATTTTATGGCCGATAACTGATAAGTGACATATTATTGGTATTGGTGTTTTTAATAATGCTCTTGAGTCTTAGATGATAGCAAAGGTAATCTACAAGTGCATGATCATTTTCTCTATTTTTACAATATCCAGTATCGGCTGATACCAATAAACAATGTGTTGGACAGTGTGTGTGTGTGTGTGTGTTGGGGGGGGATCACAAAGTTTGAGAACCACTAATCAAGTATTTGTAAGTGACATGTGCTGGATTAATACCTGCAGGATTCCTCATCCAGTTCTGACGTCTCTGAAGAGCAGGCTTTGCACCTTATCTGTAAGATCTTGCGTGTTTCCTGGAAGGAGCAGGACCGTGATGTCATCTTTCTCCCCTCACTTGCTGCTGAATTCCAGAAGAATCCTAGGGATGGTATGGACTAAAAGCAACAGAGGGTGTAAAAGAGAATTCTGATTTCTCTGTAATTGAATTGCATTGTGCTTTCTTCTTCTAGTTTACTCTGACTTCAGAGACCTGATTGGACAGATTTTAATGGAGGCTCTCATGATGTCCACCCGTTCGCGTGACTGTAACCCATTCGCCAGCTTGACCGCCACATCTCAGCCAATTACCGCTGCCAGATCACCGAACTGTCACCTGACTCTCGTCCCACACTCCAGCCAGAGCGGCAGTCCCATGATGCCCTGCGCTGGTTCATTCGGTGCCAGCTCTCTTTCCAGGCAAGTATGATAGCTGACAACCTCTCCTTTTAAAAGGAATTATGTAGCCACCTACACTGGCGGCCAAAAGTTTGGACTAATTAAGATTTTTAAATGTTTTTGAAAGAAGTCTCTTATGCTCACCAAGGCTGCATTTATTTGAATGTATTTTAAAATATACAGTAAAAACAGAAAAATTGTGCGATAATATTACAATTTAAAATACATTTTTTAAAATATTTTAATATATTGTCAAATGTAATTTGTTCCAGTGATGGCAAAGCTGAATTTTCAGCAAGAAAGCTACTCCAGTCTTCAGTTGATCCTTCAGAAATCATTCTAATATGCAGATTTAGTGCTCAGTTATAATTGGTCTTATTTTTCTCATGAATTGTAGTGTATCAAAATTTCAATAAAAATTTTAAACCGCAAAAACTGTTTTCAACATTGATAAAAATTAGAAATGTTTCTTGAGCACCATATTCTGCATACAAAATTCTGCTAAAAATGAGCTTTGCCATCACAGAACGTAATTACATTTTAAAATAGTTATTTTACAGTTAAATACAGTAACTGTTTTTAAAAATAACTATTTATTTTAAATTGTTGTGATATTTCACAGTATTACTGTTTTTACTGTATTTTTAACAAAACATTCAGCCTTGGTGGGCAGAAGAGACTTCTTTCAAAAACATTTAAAAAATCGTAATAATTCCAAACTTTTGGCCGCCGGTGCACATATCCACCTACACCCCTTTGTCTCACATTCTTGAATTCTCTTTAAATTTCCTCCGTCGTCTGTGTTTCCGCCTTCATTTTCATCAATGTCTTTGTTGTTTTCAGTCTTTACGGTTGTAGCCCAAACCCACTCGCTCTGAGCTCTGCCAGAATGAGTGCTCCATCTGTCCCACTGGCTCCTGCAGCCGCCCTCCTGGGTCCCCCCAGTCCTCCTGTCTCTCGCCCTCCCGCCAGCCTTCCACCTCCCTCTCCATCCGCCCCTCTGCCCATCTCCCAGAGATACAGGCCCTACTCCCTTAGCTCGTCCATCCCCATAAGCCCAAGCCACAGATCTACTCCATCTGGTATGCTTACGCCCCCTACAACTTCAGGTATACCCTCCAGCCCTTCCCCCAGACACCATAGCACCAACTCCTCCATGCCTTTCCCCATCCTCCCCGGCTCCCCCAGCACTATGGCCAGAAGGACTGCGCTAGCTGCCCGGATGCCGTCTAGGTACCTTTCTTACCCTGTTAGATGTGAAGTTGCATCTTTGTAGTCTTTAATTTTTCATTCAGTCTATCTGTCTGCTTCCATTCACACACCGCGGTCACACCAGCCCTTTCTCCCTCCTCTTCTTCGGCCTGTCCGACTTGCCTCAGGACAGCAGTGATGAAGAGCTGGAGGAAGAGGAAGATGAGGATTTTTCAGGGGTTCAGTTTGGGTCCAGGTATCAGTGCCAACGTGTGTTGCATGCTTCAGCGTGCTCCCTGGCCACTAACAACAGCCCGCTGTGCCCAATGTTGGCACCGCAGTGGGCAAAAAGAATGACACCAAATAGTGGAGTTTGATCATGTGATAGATGATCTCATCAGGTTGACAAATTCAGTGTTTCTTCTGTGGACAGAGCTTTGCTGTCAGCTGAAATCGTGTTCATTGCACAAGGATTTGTTAGACCCGTTAGCTCTCAGCAGAAATGTGAGCCAGCAGACCTTGAAACTCCCACACAGGACGTGTGTGCTGGACAACAGTGGTGGTGGAGGACTGATTGTCGGGTGTTCGGATAATGTTAGCAGACTGTGTAACAGAACTAATGAGAGCCAGAAGCCTGCTGTGGAGTGTTGTCTTACCCTAGAGTTCACTAATGCATGCTGTCTCATGACCAAAGACCTGCAGGGGGGAGCGCAAGTATTAGAGCCTGCTTTTGTTGTCCTCTTGTCATGCGTTTTGCCGTCATTTACATGTGGTATTAACATCTGTCTCAGGGGATCGAGTGACAAATGTCCGGTGCTAAATACAGGTGTAAACTGATTCCAACATGTTAAATACCAATCACTCAAATCTCACTAGTAGGTAGTTAGAAATGCATGTTAGCACATCACAATTGTACATATCTACAATCATGTGAAAACCTGGAAATATCTTCTTTCTTTTTTTTTTTTTTTTCTACAGCCAGAAAAAA